CAAGACCGTAATCTAGTAGGTAATTATGCAAGCAAACAAACTCACATGCTAATTTTATTATATGTAGGATATTTGTGATGGATGACTCAACATTACTTGTGTTATTCGAGACATGTCAGTTTATCGCTTACCTAACAATTCTAACCTGAAACTTCTAGTTCTGATTGCAAAGCCTTCTTTATGATGACTCGCATAATTTGAACCTTATTTTACAATAGCATTACTCAACATATTTTACTAACGTATCATTATATCTTTCTTAGGAAAAAAACATAGAAAAGGTGACTTTTAAAATGTTGCACGATTTAAATGATATAGTATACTAGCTGTCCCAGCAAACTTCTTTCTTACCGCCATAAAAAATGGGGTTGTTGGTAGAAGGGTGAAAATTTAGGATTGTATGTATTTTTGTATGATGTATCATAAAAAAATATAAACAAAAAAATTGTCCAAAAAAAAACTTAAGGGTGGACTTAACATTTAGAGGGATGAAAAATAAATGTTGTCCGATTCTCAGACCTACTGAATATGCATATAAAATTTCACGAAAATCGGTCGAGCCGTTCCGGAGTAGTACAATTACGCACACCGTGACACGAGAATTTTATATATTAGATAGTAAATGGCGATTGATTTAAATTCAGTGAAACAACATGTGACAATTAAGAAAATTACAAGTAACTGAATTATTTGAGTAAAAAGTAACATAAAAACTCAACTTATTTAGATATATTATCTAAATCTACACAATATAATCTTTGTATATTTATGTCTAAAACACATAAATGGTTGAATTTTTTGCAGTTTTTAATAAAAAATTAAATAATCACACACAGCATACAGTGCAGTAATCAAAAAGCCTGAAAAGGATCCGAATTAAATGAGTGTTTCCTGCGTATATTAATAAACACTGATACATAGAGTCTTTGTCAGGAATCTCTCAATCTAGGATAATTTAATAAAACAAAGACGCAATACTCTCGTGTCCACGAATAAATCTCACTTTATAGCCATTCAAAAAGTGTTTTATTTGCTTTAGTCACGTAGGTTTTACTAGGTAGTCGATCACTTTAGTGCATACCAGTGCCCTGAGTACGAGAGCTCACGAATACTATCATAGTTTTCGTAATTCTAAATTATGTTTCTATGTCCATTTTGGTGAAAAGTAACCAAATATAATTAAAATTTAAGAAGACCCAAATGATTTAATGTTGGAATTTAAACACTGCTTATTTGTATTGAAACGAAAACAATAAAATCAGTACCCTTAGTACGAGTGCGTGCTCACGAAAACTATCATAATTTTCATAATTGTAAAACTCATACTAAGGGTACAGAACATGGGAAGTTGCTTCATTTTATTAATAAGCATGCATCCTCTGCGGAGATGGTTATTAATCGTTCAATATTAAAAATGTGAAAAATGAACCCGTTGAAATTTCTATTACTTACCACCATAAGACCTAACGACAACGAAAAAGGTGGGCCTACTACAGCTTTGTTGCTTGTTATCAAGACTAAGAAGAACTGATATAACCTTACCATTTACTGGAGGTTGATAATTGAAACGGGAAGTACATTAGTAGATTACTAGGCTGATGGAGGCTTTTAATGTTAGACACCTGAGCTGAGGCTCAAGCAAGAACTTTGACAGCTCCGTAATCGTATCGTCATCGTCAAATTGTGTATGGAAGGAGCCAGTTTGTTCTTACGTCCGGTAGCGGCGCAGCTTAGGTTTCACAGAAACTTTTACGTTGCGATACGATTATGGAGCTGTTAAACTTCGCGTTTGGGCCTCTGGTGTAGAATCAAAAATCAAAATAAAAAGCACTGTTAAAAACACTTGTGAAGGTCAAGAAGCTACGCCATCGCTTCGCAAAACTACGGCGGCAGAACTTGTACTGAGAAGAACCGGCAAGAAACTCAGCTAGGACTGTTTTTTTTTCTCCCTGTTTTGTTATATACAGAGTCGTCAAGTTGAAAAATGACTTCAGAGATACTTCTGAAGTCACCTTCCATTACATCATTTAGAGTTAGTATAGCTTTATTGCACCTATTTTATGTTATTTACGGGATTGCTACTATGTACCTTGTTTTTTCGCGAGTCCCTTGTTTTTTCGTAAGTCCCCAATATTTCGGCACCGCTACAGGCGCCATGATCACGGAGCGAACAGACTGAACAATACAGTGCACAAATATTGGCAACTCGCAAAAACAAGGTAGCAATTAATCCTGTAAATAACATAAATTACTATAATTTTAGTGACAATGAAAGTTTTAAACAATATATCAGTAATAACAATAGCTTGTTTGCATGTCTACAAGTTTGCCATTGTAATAGCCTAAGTAGGTAACGTGTAATAATTCATTACTGTATGAATATCTTTTATTGATTCAAATGTTGTAATTTAAGTTTCACACGAAATTTAATGTCGTATTAAGCAAATACTTACTCATTAGTTGCGTTTGTATAATTTATAATGTATCACAGACTTAAATCAATTTCTTTTACCTTACGTATTCTTAGTAAAGCCTTCGGACGTGAGAATTGTATGTATCTGGTCTTAAAAATCCGCTATTCATTGTGTTCTTATACAATAGTTCACGTGTGTCAGTTGTTGTTTAAGTAACAATAAATTACTTGACATGTAACTATTGAAAAAAAAACTATATGTATATAAATATTTTGCCAGTTTTCGGAAAGTTTAAAAACAATAACAATAACAACAAAAGAAACAAGAACATGAGAAACAACAAATAACATAAACATAAACAAAATAAAAGAACAGGAATAATAAATATATTAATATTAATAATATACATAGATATATAGGTATTTTGTTTATACGTGACAGGAAAACTCGACCTATTCCTTGAAAGGGTTGAAAAAGATTCCTTAGAGGTGATTAGCAACAAATTAAGTCCTTAGATTTAGGCTCTTAGATTTCCTTAGATCCTTTATCTTTGGTACACTTTCACATGAAGGATTTAGTGTATGTTATACCAGTGACATCCATTTAAGAGTTGAGGGAGAGGAAAGTAGCAGCTGCCGAACAAATAAAAACCTCACTTTCAACGCGAGTGACAGTGAGTGTAGTACGTCGTAGGAAAGGTCGTAGGCTCCGTGCTTGCATACGAAATAATGGTAGGCAGTTTGAACTGGACATGTAATTTTTTTAAGGTACAGTTTTTTTTAAACCACGTTAAATTTATCAGTCAACATTGAATTTTATTCATTCTTGATCTGAATTCAATTTACAAATCAAAATGAAAAGTTGGCCCTACATCGCTCTTTTGCTGATTTAAATAATAACAGCTAATAAACTAAATAACTTTTGTACCTTTTTGGAAAGCTTATGAAACTGGTTAGTCATTTTATTAATTTGTGCGCCAAATTCCATACAGTTTCTTCCAATAATTTACGGCGAAGCTCGGTAAAAATAAAAAAAAAATGGATGCGTGTAACTTATGTACGCGCGTGTAAGTTATACTTCTTTAGCATCATTAAAAATATTTTTTAATTGCATGCAAATAATTAATAATTACCATAAAATAATAAAAGGACTGGAAAAGGATAGTTAACACAGTCAATTAAGTTCAGTTTTAATTTGAAAAATTAAATAAATATTCAAAATATTCAATTAAAATCACTACTGAATTTAAGTTATTAGTCCATATGTAATTAGCACTTGTAAGTAACTAAAACACGTTGTGTCTATATAGAAACTAGAAACATGTGGATAAATATTATAAATATGAAAACAGTGATCAGAGGCGACGAGCGTGCCAACATTGTTTTTGACAACGCGATCATCTTATGGAGCTCCGTGGATCGTTCAAAGTACCTTTCGAACAGATGTCTAATAATGGTGGATTATTAACCACTTAGTGGTTAATAATCCACCTTTATTAGACACTAACATTCATAACGCGCCCGCGGCCAACTTTATGGTGTTACTATTGTGTTATAGTGATGCGCGCGCATCTCGAAATTTCACTCACATGATTTTTTCATAACGCGCCCGCGGCCAACTTCATGCTGTTACTTTTGGGTTACAGTGATGCGCGCGCATCTAAAAATTTCACTCTAATCATTTTTTCATAACGCGCCTAAAGAAGTATAACTTCAAAAATAAAAATTATTGTCACTGAAGTCCTTTTATTTCTGAGATTATGTGAGTTTTGGGCAAGCGCTTTAATTTAAAATGATCACAAAATTTTCAGCTTTCAAAGAAGTATCAATTCCATGTTCAGAGTGGAGTAGATTACCCTCAATTACTGGTTTTAGGCAGCAGGGCAGTTTTTTTTAATTCTAAGAACCGTCACAACTCGGTAACCATCCAGTTTTGACCCCTAGTTTACTGGATTTAATTTGTTGCTAATGACCTCTAGTATAACCCCTTTCAAGGAATAGGTCGAGTTTTACCCTGTATATCATTCAAAAGTTTTTAGTGAGAGTAAAATAATTTTGCATTTCTTTTTATAGAAAGTAAGTACTTAATGGAGGTCATCTCATAATCATAAGACACCAATCATTAAAACTAAAAATCTATCTAGATATTCTAGAAAACCCAGGTCGCGGTGTTTAAAGTGCGTCTGATTCATTTTTTGTAGCTTTTTTTAAATGCAGTGACACCACCTATAACGTAACTCAATATAATATAACGATTTTCTCGATTTAACAAATTTTTCGTTATCCCCCCAGAAAACGAAAATCCTACGACGAATCGACGAATTATTTTTTACCTCTGTATAGCAAATTTTAGACCTACTTAACATTATAACAAACCTCAGTTTAACAAATTTCTCGATGTAACGCCTCCCTGCCGATTTGTCATAATATTAACGAGGTCGCACTGTATGTAGGCTTGGGGTATAAGAATAAACTGAACCCATGCACGTATTTTGTTTTTGAAACTAATGTTTACATTAAGGAAGCTATATTTATATCATCATCATTAGCCTATTAATGCCCCACTGCTGGGGCACAGGCCTTCCCTATGGATGGAATAGGGAGATTGGGCCATGACCCACCACGCGGGCCCAGTGCGGTTTGGTGGGTGCTAACGACTGCAGATGCAACCGGGACCAACGGCTTAACGTGCCTTCCGAAGCACGGAGGAGCTCGAGATAGTAAATTTTTGGTCACCCATCCAATGACCGTCCACTGCGAAAGTTGCTTAACTTCAACGATCTCAGCCGCACGCGCTAACCACTTGCGCCATCAAGCTTCTCAATATTTATATATTAGTACATTAAAAATATTGTAAAAACATATTTTTGGCTCTACTGTAATTTTAGTTTTTTATGGTTTAACTAACCATAAAAAAAAGTTTTTATGAAAAAGTGATAACAGTGATTATCTTCCGCATTGTTATTTCGTAAGGGTTGTTTCTGATACTGGTTTTCTCTCTCCCGCAGGCTAAGCGGTCAGTGGCGGGCGCGCTGGCGGCGCCGGTGGCGCGGCTGCGCGCGAGACTGTAAGCGCTCGCCGTCGCCCGAACATGCGCGCGCGCCCAGTACACCACCGCCGCGCCGCTCGACCGCGCGCACCATGCTCAACATGAAGCTGAAGGAGCGCCTAGCGCTCGCGCTCAGCGCCTTCCTCGTCCTCTTCACCCTCATGCTAATAGTGGACCTCCAGATGGACTATGGCATGTCCGGCCACAGGGTCCCGCTGCACGGCCGTGTCAAAGTCTCCGACGATGAGGATAAGGGACGCTCGGCCTACATCGAATTCCGGAAACGGTTCCTCCAGAAAAGGTTCGTTTGGTGATGAATTTATATGCGTAGTGTATGTGTGAAAATTTGCCTTTTGTTTGGATTTTGTGAAGCTGGAACACCGGTATGTAGACTTCATTGCTTTAATATTACATCATGTGATTATTTTCATTTGACATAATTAATCACTAATTTCTACCTACTGATAATAAGAATTAGTAGTGATAATATATATGTAAAATAAAATATTTTTCTAAACAAACCGGTAAACAAAAAAGGTTCTTAAGTTTATTTTAGTTCATTATTTCGATTCAAGTAAACAAACTAAACGAAAAGTTTAAATAACGTAAGCAAGTACATTACTTCTCTACTTTACAATAATCACGTGTATTATCCTTATTTTGAATTATCTTATCAATAATTCAATGACCCTTTGGAAGCATTGGAAGATAACGATCGCAATTACGATAGTTAATTATTTCTTGAGGTTTCTAAAGTAGTTTTTAATGTCTTAACAACGATTTAACCTATTTCTAGTAAGTTGAAAACTGAAATTAAACAAATAATTGTTTTGTAAACAAGAGTTTACATTACCAATAAACTATACTACTAATAGTTTACTAATTAGTAACATAAAAGTTCCCATACTTAGTTGCAATATATGTATGTAAATAGTATGTTTACCTATTTCTTGATCATTTAGTTTGAAGAAACGCTAAATGGTCAACTTATGGAATTGAGCAGATTAAAAGCAACTCCAGACTAATTACAATACTGATAATCACTAATATGAAATGGTGAGACGTTAGTAGGCATAACAAAAATAAATCTAATTGAAACCATACGAAAAGAATTATATAATTATTAGGTATTAATTGTTAGGGAGCAAAAACTAGGGATATCATTTTTGTAACACTTATTGTAAATCTCCTACTTTTATTTTGTAAAATAATATTTCTATGCTTATCTCAAACTTTTTGACAACAAAGAACTTTGACAAGAAAGATTTTTAACGAGTTTCATGGTAATGATGTCAAATAAATGATTGCAGTGTTTATATGAACCCAAAATTTAATGACAATATTTTAAAATCAATGTGGTGGGGTACTTAAAAATATGATTAATTACGTCGTACCTTGCTAAAAACGGAGGTAAGGAGATAAAACTTTTGTATAATGTCCAAGAAGAATATGATTTAATTTTACTTCTTAGTAAGGGCTGTTTTTTCTTGCCGGTTCTTCACAGTACAAGGTCTCTGCCGAAGATATACGACCCATGGCGTAGCTTCTAGAGTTTCAAGGAAGAGTGCTTGTAATGTAACGGCCTAAACTGAATAAATGATTTTGAGTTCGAGTTTGAAATAATGTAAATATTTTGAACAGTTGTCAATGCAGTGGGTACTCTATATATTACTGCGTGCTACGCTATCTCACTGTTATCTGTGCTTTTTGACAGCGTCTTCTTGATAACACTGTTTGTGTGAGTTAAGGACACAGAGATATTTTAATATTATGTACCTACCACTTAATATATGATATTGGGTGTGGTGGCCTCTTAAATCTCTGCTATCGTTCTTTATTTGAAATCTTTCAGACTTTATCTTTTCATTTAGATTTGTTCATTTTTTACGATTTTATGATTTTTTATGGTTAATGAGTGACAGATATATAACTTTTGAAAATATATTACTTCTAATACAAACTGAAAAGAAAAAAAAACAAGTCTAGTAGTCTATAATTCTGTTAACCCATTTACCACCATTACATATTTATGAATAGATCTTTTGCTTTCAATAATGGGTCCCGACTGTTAAAGAAGCTTCGTCGCTTACTTAACAGAATTATAGACTACTGTACCCCTAGCACGAACCATTATCGAATTCGAATAGTTTGCAAACCGAAATGTCAAATTTTGTAAGGAAACTTGAACAGCAGCGCCACAAAGTACGTAACGGGAACTAAAAATCAGTACACATTTGACAATGACATTTCGTACTCGCAAACGATACGAATTCGATATTGGTTCGTGCTAGGGGTACTGGACTTGTATTTTCTTTTCAGTTTTAATTTTAAGTAATATTTAAGCTCAGTCTTGGTCTAAACGATTGATTTATTAGGACAGCTAGGCTACAGATGGGCCTTAATTTTTTCAAAAAATAATAAATTTTAATTAAATCGTATAATATGTATACTAGCTGTCCCAGCGAACTTCGTACCGCCATAAAAAATAGGGGTTGGTGGTAGAAGGGTGAAAATTTAGGGTAGTATGTATTTGTGTATGATGTATCATAAAAAAAAATAAAAAAAAATATATCTAAAATTGAAAAAAAAAATTAGGAGTTTAACCCTTAACATTTAGGGGGATGAAAAATAGATTACATCCGATTCTCAGACCTACTGAATATGCATATAAAATTTCACGAAAATCGGTCGAGCCGTTTCGGAGGAGTTTAACCACAAACACCGCGACACGAGAATTTAGTATATTTGATATATTTAATGCATGTAAATTTTATAGTTAAGTAGTTCTTATTAAAAAAACTCCTTTGACTATGTTCTGTTTAGTAACTTAATAGAAAGTATTAAATTAATTTACTTATATTCGTCGAATATCTAAAATTGGCTGGCAGTTGCTGCATTGTCAACGTCCATCTTTAAGATTGTGAAATACACAAATGAAGTATATCCTAGTCCCACTATTTGTTTTACCTACATAATTCACAGAAACCAAATAGGTACCTACATGCCGGAGGTTAACTTAATAGAACTTTGATAGAAATAAAAAGATAGTTTAACCAAACTTAAAAACCTTTTAATAATAAATTGTTGTATATCTTATACAAAATAACTCCTCCTGTGGCTCGAACACATGCAGAGATCCTTCTGGGCATGCTGAGGATCAAGTTATCCAGCATTTCTTGTGGTAACCTGTCCCATTCTTGAACAGCAGCTTCCCGGAGCTGCGGCACTGTCTGGGGTGGTGGCTGCCGGTTCCAAACAGCTCGCTTAAGAGCACCCCACGCGTGCTATTAGGTTTAAGTCAGGAGAGCCAGTAGGAAAGTCTAACCTTGTGATTTCGTATTCTCGGAGAGCAGCATTGACTCGTTGAGCTCGATGTGCGGGCACATTATCGTCAACCAGCACAAATTGTTGCCCATGGTTTAATCGGAAAGGACTGACAATTCCATCAATAGTGACTGCTTTGTATTGTCTGCCGTCATGAAGCCTTGATAAGGGATTAAAGGCGTTCTAACCCCAATCATAATACCACCACAAAAGGACACTGATTCCCGCCTTGCTGAACCGTTCCAGTGGCTGTTCTTTGCCTTTCAGAGTCTCCAGTCTTCTCCAAACACGGACACGTCGGTTATCTGGATGAGTACTGATTCGCAATTCGTCAACAAAGAGGCGGTTTTGCCAAAAGTTTTCCTCTTCGTCTTCTTCGTTTTGCCGAAGTCTAGCCCTGTGATCTGCGTCGCTGACGTTCCCTTGAATTCAAAGGTGCTCGCCAAGATCTCCGTGCTCGTAATCCAACCTTGTGTAAGCAATTTCGAATGGTCTGAGTGCTAACTTCAAGTCTGCTGTAGCTGTTCTGAGCAGCTGTCAAAACAGTTGGGTGACCGCTGCGGGGTCGATCAGCTAAATTACCCATGCCGTGGTACCTCTGCAACGTAGTAACACAAAAAACAATCTATTTTTCAAAGTGATCGCAACCTTTTTTGATGTGTGTATGTACCATACACACATCAAAAAAAGGTGAGTATCAATTTCATCGCAGTTACCTTTTATGTAACGGAAATAAAGACTGATTAAAAATAAAAAGAGCGTTTTAATATCCTTTGATTTGAGTTCATAGTCAATACCGTAATCCCGTGATAACGGTATTGAACATGTAAATACCGGCATTGATACCGGTATCAAAAAAATCTGGTATTTGAAAGCCCTAATGCCTACTTAGTTACTGAAAATTCAGGCTTCTAGTTTTGTCGCCAACGAAGTTATAGTTGGTTGAAAATGGCCTGAACTCTTTCGAGAAAAGGATGGTGCTGCCGTGCTGCTGATTTTACTCGAATTGGAGGGGGCGCTGCCGTGCCCCTAACTACTTTATTGGTGCAGTAGAAAAGTATAAGAGAAGGTAAGACCATATCCTATCCGAAACGTGTATTCCCTATATTTTTAAAGTAATAAAAAATAAAAAATAGTATGCAGACTTTACTAGCATCATCATCCTATTAATGTCCCCACTTCTGGGGTACAGGCCTTCCCCATGGATGGAATAAGGAACTTGAAACGTAACCAACCACGCAGGCCTAGTGCGATTTGGTGGCTGCTAAAGACTGTAGATGCAGCTTAAAGTGCCTTGCGAATCACGAAGGACCAACGGCTTAAAGTGCCTTCCGAAGCACGAATGAGGATAATAAGTATTGGTCACCCATCCAAAGACCGAAAATTAGGAAAGTTTTTTAACTTCCACTATCGCAGGCCGAACGCGCTAACCACCTGCGCCATTGAACTCCCTTCTTTACTAGTAAACGTACATTTGTATTTTGCTCTACAAAAGCAATTAATATGAGCATACTTTTTATGATATACCATCAACGATCATGCACTCAACTGATAGTTTGTTATTGCCATAATAAATGTCATATTTAATAAGTATTGTTAGTCTAATTAAAAAGTAGCGATCTGCAGACATGTGTTTAACTAGCTCGCCTAAGAATAATAAAATAATAATCTATTTAATCTTCGTTTAAATAGAAGAAAGCGTGATTAGATTCTTTTTAAATCATTCTGATTGTGTGTATTGCTGGTGGGCTGATTATTTTTTTAACATTCCAAGAAAAAATGGTTATAAACTATAAACGCCACAATGGAGTTCCAACAAATCTAATAAATAAAAATACAAACACTAATTAAAACCCAGTAAATTACATCAAAATACATTATCGTTATTAGATAACATCAAAATATATTTAAGGCGGCATGTTAGTATCGATAAAATTATCAGAAATTGGGTTACAAAAACTTTGCCTATGATGAAAG